ATAGTGTTCGTGATTTCTAGCTTCGGACCATTTACTTGGTACATTCCCAAGCGTTTCGTCGGCATCTTCAGTGAGAAGTGCCATCGTTAGCACAGAGCGATAACCTAAAAAAAGTAACAAGTGAAGGCAATTCGCTTGACTAATTTCCTTGGATATTCTAATTACTCCAAGTAAAAATAAAGGGTCCGTGGTGGTGGTTCTCCAAAAAAATTTCTGCAGCACTAATTTATTTTTCCTATGTTAGAATTTCGATCCCCTCAATTTTCTTACATAGATCAATCTAGGAAGCAACTACATTTTACAGGATATTTATGATCGATTCTTCCTTGCCGACTCAATAAAAAAATTTCATGAATAATTCTGCCTGTTAATTCGGTTTATTCCTTTGCTTCTAGTATATGTGAGGCCTGATTATTCGATTTTACCCATGCATTTCATTCGAATGACACCATTTTTTTCTATTATATATTTGGTCATGCGTGAATTTTAGTTGAGTGGAGGACAAGTAGTTAAGTACTTTTTTTTCCTTATAGGTTTCTAATCTCGCTGACTTTATTCCTCTTTTGGATCGGGCACGAGAAGGGGGTTTGCGCACTAGTGTTCATTTGGCGGAGATAAAGGATCGTGATTTCGAATGGTGCACTTTTTTGGCAAGATATTTTCCTGATAGACTTGGACATGGCACATTTCTACCTATTACCGAGTTCACACTGAATACAGAGAGTTATGGAACTCTAGATGAAAATTCCTCTCAATGCCTTTTGGTACGACGGCCTGAAAATGATTCCAGGGATTCAAACGATAAGCTTCAAGCCCTTATTGCTTGTAAAGCTGTGTTGAAGAATCTAATTCCTCTAGGTAATCTTGTTAAGCCCAAATCAGGCTAGATTGATTAATGTAGAAAAATTGGGTTTCGAAGAATCCATTAATACAGTAATTCCCAAACTGGGCGCCGCGAAATATTATAAAAGCTTAAATTTGAGAATGTGCAGTGATTTGCAGCCTCATCCATCACATTAATTGAAAAAGGCCGCCGCGAAGGAAAAGTTTGGGAGACACTGCCTTAATAGATTCATGCTGGAGTATCCTTCATTTCGTTTAAAGAGGCGAATGGAAGGGATTTATAAGTTGGTTCCATTGGGGGCTGTCGGGTGCTTACCTTGGAGCTGTAGTTGTAGATTTGTGCGAATAAGTCTTTAGCGCATCACTTGCGACCTCGATGAGTCCCGTCTGAGCTTTCGTCCGTCATGTTATGGACATCGTCAGAGCAGGACACCATGGTTAACGATAATTCACCAAAACACGAAGGCAAGAAAGGTGTCCGACTTTAAACCTACTTCTTATATTCCAATTGGGTCCACTTATGCATCTCATGTTTTGGTTGGATATCCTATGCTTTGCCTCTACATTTGCTAATAAGTTCAGTTAAGTGGCTGCGGATGACATGTGAAGTGACAAAAGATTAAGCGTGAAATTGGCGCGATTGAAGCCGAACAGCTGCACCATCTCCTTTAATCCTGCAATGTTACCGCACGTGATTGAGTCCCATTGATGTTGACTTTATGCAAACTAACATTCCTGTAGATTATGCCATACAGGCCCTGCAATCCACGCTAGACCAACATGCGAAGATTTCAATGAGCACTGAGTTAAGTAAAAGGTCAATAATGATACTGACCAGCCTGGTGATGTACTGTACATATTTTACCTATAATGGTAAACTGTATGAACAAACAGGAGTTTTAGCTAGGGGGTCGTGTTTTCACCCATTTTCTCAACTACTTACATGGCACTTTTAGTTCCTAAATCATTAGTTCTCTATATAGACGACTACTTTGCTAATTGAAAAGATGGAAAAGAAAGCCCGGAGAATTTTCTTGGTTTGATGAGCAGGATCGATGGGAAAACGAAATTCACCATCGACTTAGAAAAGGAGGGGGTTTACTTTTTCTTGATATCCTAGTTAGCAAAGAGGGGACCAGATTATATCGAGACTATGATATTGAGGAGCCTGAGTCTGGCAGATGCTAAACATCAGGACCAGGAACTGAGGAGACTAAGGCGAATTCTGGTTGAGAATAATTATCCATGAGGGCTGGTTGAGAGCTATTTTATAATATTGTCAACTAGAATGAAGGGAAATACATATTTAGGGATAGATAAAAATATAGATCACTTTACCAGGATCCTTATGCTGCCATCGTATAATCTGTCGAAGAAAATAGGCAAATTACTGAGGTGAGACAGGACCATTTATAGATAGAAAATACCTTCTTTTCGATAATACTCTGACCCGCCCTCAAGATCGGGCTGTTACAAGAATTTGTGCTGATGTGGGTATG